ATGGCTAAAAAGTGGCTGATATTTTTGAGGCCATGCCTCAGACTGGTGAGTGGGAGTCATTTGTTTATTTTAACAAATTTTAAAAAATTTATTGGAGGCAGCAGTGACTCTCATGCCTCGCTACCCCGCAGCAGACAGAGTGGCACCACTTTCAGGGACCTTTTCTATCACTGAGTAGTTGCAGAGACAGAATAATCTCCCAGCAGGAACCCTAATTATTCCTCCCCACCAGAGCTCAGGTGGAATTACCTCCAGTCCTACAGAAGGCAGAGCACATAGGTGTGCTAACAAAGGAAAGAGACCAAAAATCAAACTGCCACCCCCCAGGCCAGAATGTGCCCTGAGGGATGACGAGAAAAGCACAACAAAGGTGATGAGGGGGTTGGCTATTACATGGTCCTGGTAATAAAATGGTAAAGACAAACATGAGAAAGTGTTCCATCTTGGTAGTGAGCAATCGGATAAAACCTTCATTTTTTAAGCATACTCATGCCACAGTTCTCATACTGCAGTCCTTGAGTCAGGGACTACCTACCAGTTAATTTCCTTACAGGGGAGTTTTCCCACCGTGCCAAGAATCTACACAGTCTGTATTAGTGCTGCCCCAATGCTGATTGCGAGGAGGAGGTTGCTGATCACAATTGCCATACAGTGGCAAGTGTTATTTCACTGTTCTCATGGAACTGTTGCTCTGAAGAGAATATACTATCATGATCTAGTCCTGACACCCAGGAAAATCCCTAAAATGATCCCCTGGGATTCACCAGTGCAATGTCAGAGAAAGCTGTGATAAGAAGGTAAAATTCAAAATTAAAATTAAGGTATAAATAGTCCCTTCAATATATGGGGCCAAATTACAGCACTCTAACTGGCATGTCCTGCTAACATTCTCTACCTTCCTCACGAACAACATGGAGCCACCTTCAGAACAAGGTATGGCTCAGTTTCAGTAGGATTTTCTGGAGTCCTAAGGAAATACCAGCACAGGAGCTCAGCAGTAGCACCAATTTCAAAGTATGTGTGTAGATGGAGTAATTTTTAAGTATCATGATTACACTAATTAGATTCTGCTTAGGTTTTAATTTGCATTTTAAGGATTTGATTACCCACCAGTAAAAAAAGAGACTGATTCTCTCATGTATTTTATGACAGTTTGTGACACAATCTGCACTCTTGTGTTTACAAATAAATAAAAATAACATATGTAAATTAAATTATGTTTCATTCTGTACCATTGCTATCAACAGCAGGTAACTAACAATGCTGATTTATATTACTAATAATAACATTCTTATAATAACATTCTTACAAAATTTATTTCATAAATCCCTGCTGTACCATTTCAAACTCTAACTGTGACCAAGAGACATAATCCATTTTTAATTGCGATTCAATTACCCCTTCTTTCATTAAATTAAGTTTAAGCTGCAATAATATGACTACTGTGCATTCAAACAGGGATACCTAGAATTAAAAAAAAAAAAAAAACACACGTCTCCCAGGAGTTTCTGAATAACAGGAGGGTTTGCCCATAGGCTTTTTGTATCATAATATGTTGCCATGTATATAATTCTATTAAAATTAATATATAATACTATTTGTCCTATAAATTAGATAATATAAATTAAAACATTGTTAGAAGTGTATGTAAATTTGCCTTTTGTCTACTCACTCTGTTTTTGGAACTTCTTTTCTAAGCCAGTAGAAATCAGATTGGGCTACGTATTTGCGAGTTTGCATTACATTGCCAAAAAAGTCACTTTCTGTAAACTTCAGCTGTATGGATAAAGCACAGACATTTTAAAAGCATATCCAAAGAAACAAAAGCTGTCATAAAAAGCATAACTTCTATTTTTTACAAGATAATCACCTAATTTTTCAGCAATTATGGAAGCAATTAGAATTTTCACATTTTGGTAGGAAGAATAAATATTTTATGATCTTAGTTAAAACACAGAAATGGAACAGATATACACAAGGGTCTGGAACGCTGGAAAGGCTCTTTCCTGTGCAGAGAGGTGTTGAAGAAATCATAAGCACCCAACAATGGATTGCAGATGGAACTTCTCTTTTCCAGGAGGAAGTAGACTTACTTTTATTTTTAAAAGTGCATTTTAAAACCACTTCTAACAATGTCACAAAGTCCCCTTTCTCAGTTTGCTTTACATTTTATAACAAATACTTCATACTCTGTGCCCTCTGAGGGTTCTGCCACTGCTTTCTTACTGTTTCTCACATTAAATATATACACCCATAGGGCTCTGTGCTTCCATAAATTTCCAAATCCAATAGCAATTACACATACACATACAAATAACCATGCAGGCAAAAGGGATGTTAATAGTTCATAAATCCAGATGATATCCCTGTCATCAGCTTAAAGCAATCCTAGGATTTGAGAGGAAGTTGTATTTCAGATGTAAACTATGGTTTTGCAACCACGATTTTTCAGTATTTTTCACCAGACATTGCCACTTATCTGGGCGAATGCTTTGTCTCATTACACTGTCTTCACAGCACCAGCTCACCATATACTTCCCACAAACAAGGACTAGGTTGGTAGAGTTGGTTCTTCAAAGTTTTCTCAATAAATTAGGTCTCTGTTTAGTGTTTGTTCATGTGTTCTGGCAAAGATGACCGTGTCTCTTTGTTTTACTGGCTCAGGATTGAATTTATGGTTCTATTTTGCTTGTGACTTTCAGTAATACAATTCATCACATGCATGCCACAGTCAGAAAATGGTGACATATATTGTTATTGTTGTCACTGATGATGATGATGATAATAATAATAACAATAATAATAATAATTTGCCTTCCTGCCTTAGGCTGAACAGGTCAGGAAGGAGTCTCCCCATAGTATCTTTGCCCAGCAGCCAGCACAATAGGCCCATACATTGATTAGGACATCTTGACAAAACTATAAGCAACAATCATAAATAAAATTCATAGCCTGGAGAGCCTATATAGGGCATCATAAAGTGTGATATTCTGAGGTAAAATGCTTGTTGTGTTTTTGAAGACCATTATTTTGAGAAGAAATGCTTTTGGTTTGTTTCATTTTTACAACTAAATACCAATTACAGTGTATGTTTAACCTTTAAAATGCTTATTATCAGGAAGGTTCTTTGCACCCAGGTGCATTTTACTCCCCACAAGCCTCATGATCTCATTTAGGCATGCCAGCATTGACAATTTAGACACGAGAGCTAGCACACTTAATTAAAAAATAACACAAAAATAACCAGGCAAGCAAAACTCCAGGTGCATGCCAAACAAAAGACAAGCTTTGATTTTAGACAGCAGTGAAACAGAGCAAAGAATAGCTGCAATATGTAAATGAAGAAAGCAGCAAGTCTGACACTTACTGTTTTGATGTCTTCATTAATATATGTGTCATTCATTATAAACTCAGGGTAACCAACTTTCGCCATAACTGCTTTTGCCTTTGAAAAAGAAAATGAGAAAAAAAGTGTTGACAGATAAAACCACTTATCAACATACGGCTTTTTTTTTCCCTTGCTCTGTTTCCATTTTGCATTATTATACTTCCCTAGAGGCATCTTAATTTAACTTCAAATCAACTTGCCTACAAGGTAAAATTGGTGCCACAAATGAGCTCGGCATCACAAGGCAGAGGGTCCAGATTCTGTTGTCAGATTATCACAGTGGGTCTGTTGTTGCCTGCAGAGCTTTTGCGTAGTTACAGCTATGTGAGTGCAAAATCTCAACAGCTGACTTTCCCTACCAGTTTTTGTGTTAATCAAATGGTCAAATGCCTGTTTTTACAATGTTTTCCAAAGGACAACAGAAAACGGTCCGTTTTGCTATGGCACAGTAGCTGGTACACATTCAATGCTTAAAACAGATTTGATACACAGATGTGAATGAACCTTGGTCCCAGCAAATGCAGACTGATGTATTTCTACTGAGGGCCATTTCTATTTGCATCTGAAGATGGGCACACACTCTTCTGAAGGACATTGTGCTTTCCTAAAACTACAGGACTAATATTTGCCCTTTCACTAATGTTAGTAAGGGTGTTAAAATAAAACACTTCACTTTTCATTAACTTTGCTTTTTTTAACTCTTTTAATCATGACTTGGTCCCAGTATTTATGCACAGCCTGTGTAAACACTCCAGTGTGAAGTGATAGTAGCTGTAGATGAGTATTACCACTTTGTAAATCGTGGTGTGAATGTATAAACAGCCTGAGCATTCTTCTCACAAAAACACCAGCAGGCCACCCTTACACCCAGAATCTCTGTGGAAACAGAATTTTCCAGAAGAAAAGCAAAAGGATACAAAAAGATAAGACTACACACCAAGATGTGAAATGTGACAATCTGTAAAATAAATTAAAGCTATGATGGACTAGGGTAGCGCTAAGCTTTCATTTTGTATGTTTTCAGGATGTTGAGTGTATTTTCCCCATAAGTCTTTGGAATTTCCTCCACCCCTCAAAAAGCACTCTTCTGGACACTTGTTCTTCAAACTCAGATGTCAAAACTCAAATGAATATTGCAAGATATGAAATGCAATAAATTAATTGGCCTCTAAACCAACTGCAGACGTACCAACCCCGCATTCTGTTCTCATGAGCAGAGCCTGGACCCCTCTGGGGTCAACCAACTTCCATTTCCCTCTTCAGAGGGTGACTACTCAAAGGAAGATTCCCCTTCCTGCACAATTATATCCTTTGTCCCTTCTGCCCCTCCATAGTATCTCAATACAACAGGGCAGACAGCCAGAATTAGAAATGGCTGTTCCACTACTGTAAGAAGGAAGCTGATGGAGGACTCTGCCCATTTAACCAAAATAATTCTGTCTCCTCTTTTATTTTTCAAGAAGAAAGGCCTCTTTGCTTCTTCAAACTCCTTCAATTTCTCAATCTCATTTCCAATCCAAAATCATAATCCTCCATTCATGACATCACAATTAATTGTGGTTGAGATAATTAAGATGTCACAAACAGACGATAACAACTTCAGGTAGGAAATTAGCAGCAGGAGTAGATGATCTCTTAAGCAAGAAAGATCCCATTGTCATGCAAATTGCTCTAGTGATAAAGAAAGCAATGGAAGAAAAATGCTGAATGGGAAATATGAAATGAGCCAAATAACCTCTCAACAGAATGTTTTCTCAGTTTTCTAGAAGGTTTAGCAGTCTTTCAAGATATTTTAAATGCTGTGGGGAGGAGGGAGAATAAAAAGCTGGGGAGGGAGCACTGTTCATCTGCAAGTTTGTAGGTAATGAGGAGTGTCTAATTTTTTTCCTAGTAGTAGTGTCAGGTCCAACTGACTGAACTTTGCAAGGAACCACAAAATTTTCTTTACCATTTCCGATGTTTAAATCCCAGTTAAAACTATCCTTGAAAAAGGAAAGAGCAAAACTCATCAGTTTTAATTTCTGCTAAGTCAGTTGCTTAAATGAGTTTGGTGAATCTCATATGTTCTGCATGAGTTCCAGAGTACCTGTCTGAATCACAGTAACCTTTGTGTGGAATCTACTTAATTGAACACCTTAAGATTTGAATTAAACACATTTAATTTAAAAAATTGCTTATATGATGAAGAATAAACCCTTTAAAAACAATTTATAGTGCAACATTTAAAAAAATCAACAGTGGTTTTAAATCAAATATAAGGATTAACTGTGTCAGTACAATGGCATTTTACTAATGATTTAGTCAGTACAATGTCGATCAAAAATTTTTGATCCTGTTTTGGCATATAAAAGAACATTTTTTGTTTAGAGCTAGATTACATCCTTTAAAAGTGCTCTTAATTTGTATACTGTCTTCCAAATAGAAGCAAATAAATTCATGCCTTACTGGCTGTAAACGCAAAGGAGTATAAAGCCGGCCTAGATTTGGCAGTGCTTCTTTGCTAAGAGATGGGCTCTGCCCTTAAACACATGGTGCTAATCGTCTGGTTGTTACCAAAGTAATGTCCATCTCCACCACATGGACATTTTGGGATCTTTGTGGAATATCTGCCACATCCCTCTCACTCTCTTCTTCCACAGCAGCCCCCTGAGGGCAGCAGCTTGGGACTGCCAAATTTTGGCCCTTTTAGACCTCACTCTTTAACCAAGCATCTCTAAGGGTGAAGATGAGGCCTCCAGGCTCATTAATAGCTGGTCTAACATAGGTTGAGCTAAAGATCAAATATAATCACATAATCTCACAAGTAACCATATAATTAACTTTTTTTAAATTTTATTTTATTGACACTTAAACCCTTTACTCTTTTCATAGCCCTGCTGCATTAGGAAAGGAAGATGGGAAGACTTCTTCAGCCAGACTGCCTCAGGAGAGCTGGGCACACTTGTCAGGTGACACATACTTTTGCTTTGTGACATGAAATTGAGATTTCTAAACATGAGAATAAAATAGTTGGGCACTACTATACTATGAGGTATTTTTTTACAAAGGCTATATAAAACCCTAGTAAATAACAGAGTTTGTCTTGGAGAGATTTTTGAAAGTAAACTCAAAAGGTAATGCTGCTTCCAGTACTTTGATGTTTTATCAACGTCTAAAGCTACCTGTATTTTGTAGTATAGATAGATAGATAAGGGGAAAACGTTATTTTATTGCATTTGTTACTTAAAAGTTCTTAGCACAATATGTGTAGTTTAGAGATCTGAGCAGATAAGACAAAGCTGATGCTGACAGCGAAGGATGCATGGCTCTTGGTTGGGGAAAATGTTTCCTATGGCCAAAGCAAAACCTATGAGAGGACACAGGAAGCCCTCTGAAGTCCTTGATAATCCCTCCAACTGGGATTTCTCCTAGGAGCTTTGCATCAGGTGCAAACCTGCTCAGCTGAGCCCCACACACAGCCCAATTTATTTACACAACTGACAAGGTAGAAAGTACCATACTGGGAGCAGGTTTCTGAATTTGCATGTTGGAAGTCTTGTTTCTGTGCCTATCTTCTCTGTTCACTTGTGTAATATTTAACAGCAGTTTGAAGACTCCTTATTTATACAGCACAAGAAAGTGGAAATCTCGTCTACAATTGGCTTGCTCTTTGATAATGATGTCAGTATTTTCCCCTTGATAAGATTAAAAGTATGTTTAAGGGACCAGCATTCCCAGAGGCATCCATATGCATACAGGGAACTCAAATGAAATGTGACAAATGTACAGGAACCAGCCATGTGGCAATTGCACATGAATCCACCATAAACACACCATGCACAGTTTTATGGTGTAAAGGCTCATTTAATTCCTTTTTCTAATTTGCATATTAAATAGCCACATGTACAGGAAGAAAAAGGGTGATGGGGTACTTCCCCCAGCTATTGTTAAGCGCTCAGCCTAAGTTGGGCTATTGAGTAAATTAAGAAAACTCATCACTGCAGTACTCTTCTGTCACTGACAGCAAGAGGCACTCACAGGGGGTGACACAGAGAAGCAGCTCACTTTAGAGTAAGTCATGATAACTGTTTTCCAGCCCAGCAGCCAGAGAGAGCAGGCTCTGAGGCAGAGGACCCAGAGTGAGATTATTCCCTCCACCTCTCATTATGCATGGAAGTTTCCCCACTGACTTCAACAGAGCTGAGATTTTATCATCAGTGCGTCTTTCTGTCACAATGAGAGCACTGCTATTCAGTTTACTACTGAGACAATATAATAAAAGACCTTTCACTCTTGACTTAACAACTTGCCAGTGTGGGAATGCACAGGTATTTCAATGCTCCAAAGCATCCTAGTTTCCAGTCTATTCAAATTCTCACTTGACAACCAAGTGTGTGAGCCATCTGAGAGCCTTTTTTTGCCACGCAGAGTATGATCTGGATATTTTATATGCTAGCAACATTAAGTACTGACATATTTTACTTACTGTAAAGAAAAAAAAACCCGCAACACATCTCACCCCTGACAAAGTTTTATGAGTCTGACACAGATCTTTTGTATATCAACTTGACTCAAAATAACTTTGTGAAGATCATTTTCAAGCTTCTAAATATATAAAAAATTAATACAATTACAGTTCACTGAAAAATTAGCATGAAATACATTCTGAAAGCTAAAATCATTCACGGCAAAGTAATGTTCCATTTAATTACAAAGATTAATTCAGCCTTTATGTACTTGTCTGGTCATTTCATTTTCCATTGAAAACAGATAATTCAAGAGCCATCTGGTAAAACTGCTGCATAAATACTACTGTATCTAACTGGGTCTCATGTATAGAAAAACTAGGAAAATGGAGTTATGGATCTTGGCAAAACACAGAAAAGTTCCAACACAGGGCTAAAGCCCAGTCCTACAGATGTCAGTAAGAAGTGACCCACTGATTTGACTGAGAGATAGACTGGGCTCACCTTAATGATGCATAGTATTTCCTTTGTGGGGCCACATGAAATCTCAGGGATTTGCACATTTTCAAATACAATCAAAAGTGAAGTGGCAATTCAAACATGAACACTTGGCCTGAAATGGCAATTTTTAACAGTACTTGATCTGCAGTGAACTGTCTGTAATCCATACTCCAGAATATAGATAATCATTAAACTATTTATTTTTAAACCTTGGCTTTAACTGTCCTCTTTTATTTGCATGTCACAATAATAAAATAATAGAAACTGAGTAGACTTTTAAGGAGCTAGTGTTTCATTTAATAATAATTCACATACCACCACCTCACACTGCACCATAACCATCCCCTATGTACTACAATAATTGTTTTGAATGCTCTAAAATAATTGATTATGAAGACAGAAAATACAGTTCTCATTCCATTCTTGTAATAGCTTGAGGTCGGGGAAAAAAAATATATCTAGTGACTTAAGTGAATAATGACACCCATCACATACACATAAAATTGCTTTCAGTTAAATACACATTGTAGTTTCAAAACCGAGTCTAAATAACAGCTTTGTGCTACCAAATGAAAAAATGTGTTAGTCCTCACCCTTCTTCCCTGTTCCTCTCATCTCTGTCCATACTTCTGCTCATGCTGCTTGCACCCACAGCCTCCAAAGGCTGCCTCAGCTCCTTGCCACATCTTTCCGTGAGACTGCTTTCTGTGAAATTCACTACCACAGCAGGAATCTAACCAAATATTTCCCCAGCTAATTTTCCATCAGATCAGTGAGCTGAATTACTCACTACTGCATGGAAAGACCCAGCAAGTGCTGGAATTGCACAAGAAAATTTCTGGGGACACACGATGTGGGAAAGGGGAGAAGACTTATGTGATACACTAGTTACCTCCTCCTCTGAATCACATTTTGAAACCAAAGCCTCACTTAGAGAAAACTTACTGACAAGAAAATACTACCTAATACACTTAAAATACCATACAATACATTATAATCCTAGGAAACAAAGAGGAAAAGGGACACAGCAATTCCTAAGCAAACTGTTCACTGGGATTATATGTTCAGTCATAATAGCTACTATCTAGCAAGACAATATTACTATTACTAAGCATAAAGATACAAGCACTTAAAAGTTTAGTAGGACTATCATGGACAGAAGAGCCAGAAAAAGCAACAATCTACCTCCGTGACACTCTTTCCTGTCCTAAATCCCTTTCGCTTCCGGCTCTCTGGAATACTAAGACTCAGTCACTGGTTCCAGCACTGTGATGATAGTTTCACTGGAATTAATTTTTCAGTTTAAACTAATCCCACATTAGATTATCTTTTCTTTTTTTTTTAGCAATAGAACTGGACCAAGTCACAGAAAGTGTGAAATTAGTATATTTATTTTGGTTTTACTGATATAAATATACTAATTGACTGTGATATTTTCACAAGCGTTAACTCCTCAGTTCAATGCAGCAGTACAATTAATAGACCTACTCCTATTTTCTCCTACCATCTTGGTTCCAAACCCATTCTGCTGCCAGCTTTGCTTTAATTTTGCTAGGAAAAAGAAGTCCTTTGCCCATTATATTTGAATGCCATTTTCCATTTGTAACCTCTGTATGACAATAATGATGATTCCATTATTTTGTACAGAATATTATATATAACAGACATAAATTCTGTCTTTCATTAACATAATCATAAGTCTGTAAATTAAACACCTTTCTTTGTGGCATAAAAGAAACACATAAAATATCTTCATCTTTGATTATACAATACATAAGAGCACTTATACTGCAGACCATGACAACCAAGTTCCTGGCAAAGGATGTGTTTAACACCTTATAACACCATTCCTGTCCAAAGCACCTTGGTCAGTTTTAAGGGTCTTTGGATTCTCAGTGGAGCTGAAATGATGTTCATGGTCCAGAAAAAAAGGATGATGTCCAGATATGGAAACGACTCAGCTATGGCATCATGGCACCACACCAGTAGTGACAAGTCTGCTCCAGCATGGGGATTTCTGCACTGGATTCCCCTCTGCACACCTGTGGATCACTTAGGGCATGCCTATGTGTGGACAGCTAGGAGCTCCTCCAGCTGCACGTCAAACAAGCCAGAAGCAAGCGTTGTGGTCTGAAGGCACAGACTACTGTTAGCATCCTGCTGGTATATATATGTCTCATGGTATATGCTGCTAAACTGCCTTTGACAGGGCTCTAACAGCTTGTGCACCAGAGCTAAGCTTGGACACACAATTGGCACTTTAAAAGGCTGTACCTTCTCATGTCTTTATTTTCAGGAAATACTCTATATGTTTTAATACAACTGTGTCTTGAAACAAAAAAAAGCATTAGCCAAATACTCCTCCAACTGAAAATTCTCTTTGTGTTTTGAAATTACCTGAGATATTCTTACTGAATAAATTTTGCATCAGAATCCTAAGGATTTGCAATGGCACAAAAAAAAAGACACCTTTGGCTGGACTTTATTATGTTGGTGAGCTGCAGGAATTATTATGTTGCATTTTTAATAGAAATTCCTTCCTGGATTTGTTTCACTGCTCACCACCAAAGCACCTCATGAGTTGACCCACACTCCCACTTTCATGCCACCTCTTGCTAGAAAAACACCCACCTTGCTGCAAAAATCTTTTCTGCTGTTTTTGTATTAGCTCTGGGCAAGCAGCAAGCTTAACAAAAACCACAGCGCTGGCAAAATGAAAGTCCCCAGGGACCCAAAACCCCTAGTGTGCTGAAGAGTGCACCAAACACTGAGAGAGAGGCAGCCCCAGGGATCGGGGAAGGGCAAGGAAGCTCTCTCCCCATCACAACTGTATGGGATGTGATTTACCACAGTGTTTCTTGTTCAGTTCTATGCAAAACTTTGAATAACCTGTTCCAGAAAGTGACAACTTCTGACCTTAGCCTCTGCTTGCATCAGTTCATATTCATTTAATATTTTCAAGGTTAAGCAAAGGTTGCAGGGCAATTATTTTTTTTTTTTTAATAATGAAAAGCACATGAAAAATTCCCTTTTCATTTCTCATTTCACAAGAGAGCTTCAGCTGCAGTTTAGATACAGCTGGGACAAGACAAGGCAGTGACTCCTTTTAACACTACTCAAACTGGCTCAGGTAGCAATATACAGGACATGGAGATCACCACAGCCAGGAAATGCACGTTTATCGGAAATGGACAGGGAATGCTAATTAAAAACCTGAACGTGCCCTTGTAGACTTCTCCATACAGAGAATGGGTCTCCCATATCTCAATATCTGTTACTGCTGAGCTGGGGAACTACACTGTCTTTGTAATTGTACCTCTACAGGAGACAGGTTTACTTATCAAAACAAAAAAAGATAATGAAAGTTAAAGCTTAAACTGTCTAAGACTTCTAGGGGTGGTAGAGGATCTCTTGCCCTTTGGAAGAATGAATCTGTCTTTCAGCATACCAATGCTTTCATGTTGCATTTCTGCCACAAATCTTCAGATTCACTCTGGTCCCTGAGCATCTGCAGGTGTGTCTGTCCATCTGTCTCCCTTCTTCTATTTCAAGCATGAGATTTGTCACAAGTGTTTTGATGTCACACACCCATTCTGGCCCTATGGAGTTGTGGCAGAGTCTGAAAAATGACAGCTGTGAGATCAGGGTTAAATACAATTTCCTCTCCCTTCACCTGTTTTCCACTATCTGTTTGCACGGTGCTCAGGTTATTAATGGAACTGACATCCCTGCACAACTGAGTGAGCAGTAGCAGCAGCCAGATAACAAGGGAGAAGCTGACAGCAGCAATCTAACCCCAGAGATAAGAGATAAGCAAACATGCCATGGCTATTAGTTTCAACTCTGGCCAGTGGAGAAGAACATCTCCTGTTGTTACTGAACAGGAAAGCCCAGTCCTCCTGAGAAGGTTAAATTAAATTCAAGATGTGAGAGATTATTCTTCAAAAATTAAAGTTGTGATAAGAAATAAATATTTGACTTGAAAAAAAAAAGGCAATGTTAATCTGATGGAAAGCGAAGACCTATATTTATTCAGACAAAAATACTGAACACTTCTACTCTAGAAGGAAAATACCCTACACTCTCTGTATCTTTCAGGTGAAAAAATATCACTCTAAAACTTGGCATTTTCCAAACAGCTATCTCAGTAATGGTACAGGAGTGGTAGCCTAAAAATCCTGACCAAATTCCAAACTAGGTAAGTAGTGACCGCCTTTTCTGAACTTCAATATATTTCAACCTTATGAGGAGACTTGCTCATTGCTCCTTGCAATGCAACTACAAGCAGAGCCTTAAATTTTCGAATACA